GCTCCCTTCCTCCACAAGATGGAAACTCCCTACACACAATGCACACACACACACACACACACACACACACACACACACACACACACACAGACACCTTCAAGGTTAAAGAACAAGCCCATGTGGTTAGGAATATAATTTTGTAACAAGGGTAAGAACATGCTGTTGGCTGGGAATTCTTCTGAAGAGCTCAGAGTATCCTGGATCTGAATCACAGTTGAGGCCTTCAGCAAGCAGAACAGCTCCCATCCTGTCTTCTACACACAGCCACTGCAGCCATTAGGAGTCCTTCTGTTCTTCCTTGTGCCTACAGCAAACCCCTTTTTGCCCACGGGCATTTAGTGTTTCTTGAATTTCAGCTACAGTGCATCCCACACTGAAGGTGTACTGTCTCTGGAACTGCTATGTCAGCATGTGTGAAATCAAGACACCTTCCAATCTCCAGCGGCAATGACAGCCTTCAACGCAGATGATTTACTCAAAGAAATTCAAAGCTTTAGATCCCTTTAACTTATTCTTTAATTACATTTATTTCTTTGTGAGTCTGTGTGTGTGCACTAAAGCCATGGCACACATCGGGAGATCAAAAGACAACTTGAAGGAATCTATTCTCTATTCCCATTATCTGTATCCCAGGGATTGAACTTGGATCTGCAGACTTGACAGCAGGCAACTTTACCTGCTGAGCCATTTCTACTTATTGACTTTATCTTCTTATTATTTGTTTTAATTTTTTGAGAGGGGATTTCATGCAGTCCAGGCTGGTCCCCTATTCTCTGTGCAGCAGGGATGACCCTGAACCACTGACCCTACTGTCTCTACCTTCGAAGTGCTGGGACTGGAAGTGTGTGCTAAGATGCCTTTAGAAACAAGAGTGAGGTTCTCCACCCCCAGGCAGGGTAGGGCCCTCGATGGGGGCTCCCCAAAGTCCACCACATCATCCTGGGCCGAGCCTAGGCCCTCCCCCATGTGTCCAGGCCGAGAGAGCATCCCTTCACATGGGATGGGCTCTCAAAGTCCCTTCTTACACCAGGGAAAAATACTGATCCACTACCAGGGGCCCATAGAGTGCAGAGGCCTCAAGAGTGAGGTTTTAATTTTTCACAAGATTTCTTTTTCCTGTCCTGTCCCCTGTGACAAAAATCAGCCAATGGCAAATCTTTAATCCCAGCATTCAGTAGGCAGAGGCAAATGGATCTCTGTTCAAGACCAGACTGATCTACACAGTGAGTACCAGGCTAGCTGGAGTTGCACACTGAGACCCTATCTTAAGAAAATAGCTTGGTGTTGCAGGTCATGGGAAGAACCAAAGAAAGACCTCGGAGAGAAGTGCATCATCCCCTGTCATCATTCCAGAGATGAGGAAATATGGGCAGGAAAGACTTAGAATTCAGGTCATACAGAAAAGACGGACTAGACCCTGTAACTCAGCTGCATACTGCCACTGTAAGCAGACACAGACATCACCCACAGACAAAAATGACTACAATGTACAGATCTGTCAGTCCAAAAGAAATAGACACATACTTTATATTACCATGTATATACATGCATATGCATGTACATATTAGCAATACCAGAAATTAAACCAAAGCTTTGTGCTGCTAAGAAACTATCACTGAACTACATCCCCAGCCCATTCTACTTTTTATTCTGAGAAAGGTCTCCCTGCCTTGGCACTCCTGGCACTCCAATCATTTATTCTAAAAGCTGACAGCAGCCATCCAGACATACAAATATTAACACTGCCCTAAGGACCACATAACAAATCCCCCAAACCACCAACTCTAGACCCAGTGTGTTCTTGGTGGGGGGGGGGGGGTGCTACTTTTTTGTTTGCTTGGCCTAGAACTCACTATGTAGATCGGCCTGGCCTTGAATCGCAGCGATCTGCCTCCCAAGTGCTTAGATTAAAACAGTGTACTGCCACATCCAGCTCTGACCCAATTTTTACTTTCACTTCGACTCTAGAATGCTGAGTTAGTTTTCTTGACTTTTCCTGAGATGAATCCAACAAAGCCTCCCCATCAGAACTTACAAGGACCAGATGATGCGCTGAACCCCTAGAAACAGCTCAGACAACAAAACGCTGCCACCACTTGGGGCAGCGCGAAACTTACTGCTCAGAGTCATAGTAATCCATCCGCTGCTTTTTCTTGTTGTAAGCGGCAACTCGGAAGGGAACTATTTCCAAGGTGATCAGGCCAGGGGCCATCGTCAGCACTTTGGCTCCGTGGGTTGGCTCATAGAGATCCTTCCCTGTCTCCGGATGAGGCATGCCAGCCGGGTCTCGTCCAACAATATAAAAATTGGCTCCTGCCACCATCCGTGCTCTGCAATGCCACTGGACCTAGAAAAGATGTCCACCTATTAGATAACTACACTTCGATGGCTGAGTGGTGAGAAATAGTAAATAGACAATGCATACACATTTGTGTTTAACTCTTTCCCGCTGAGCTGCACCTCTGTTTATGTCTCACCTCATCACTACCCAATAGTAGGAAATCCCAACAAATTTAATGAAGCTAGAATTAAAATCAAGCCCCCAAATCAAGATCATAAATGGGCATGAATATACAGGTACATATATTTATGGATTATTTGCTTATGCGGTATGTGGATCTACATATATCCATGTGTAAGATTTTACATACACATAAGAAGTCACTCACAGAGCTCAAGCTCCAACCTTCAAGGCTAGAAGTCAGATAGGGTTGACCCTTGAATATACGTAAGGCTATAGGGGCCTTCCTAAGGAATGAATAGGGCAGGTTCACATCCCGCACAGAGCTCAAGCTCCAACCTTCAAGGCTAGAAGTCAGATAGGGTTGACTCTTGAATATACGTAAGGCTATAGGGGCCTTCCTAAGGGATGAATAGGGCAGGTTCACATCCCATCAGATACCGTACTGACTGTTCCACAGACTGGTGTAAAACATGGTCTAATTAAGGAAATACTCAGGAATCCACGGAGCAGTGTTTCAACTGCTCCTGTTTACATGCCTCTGCTCGCTTACATGAATCTGTTTCTAACATGGAGTCATTTAACAACTGGAGAATAACTCCTCCCCTTTCCAAGAAAATCTGTTTCTAACATGGAGTCATTTAACAACTGGAGAATAACTCCTCCCCTCTCCAAGAAAAAAAAAAAAAAAACCCTAAACGATAATCCTCCTTACAACTTCCTTTGCTCAGGACATGGCTGTTAGCTGTAGATTCTCAAACCCATCTCATTTTTGACACTTTCACATAGCAGATCTTAGAAAGCATTAATTGTTCTTTAGGAAATAGATTTAGTGTTTAATGACAAGAGGCTAACACTTTCAATTTGCCAACTAATTATTCATACAGATAATAAAATTGTACGTTCACAACACCAGTTTCAGCATTAGAAAGTAAATTCTTCCCTGAGCAGCTCCCACTCCGTTCCCAGGATAGAATTTCAGAATCGAGCCATTAAAGCTTATAGACTGGAAAAATGAAGAACATCCTGTTGATAAGCACACAGCCTTAACAGCTGCTCATTGTTCTGAAATGCATTTGTGCTAAGGAAACAAATCTGGTACCAGTGCCTTCTCAATAACCCAGAGGACGATTACAGAAGAAGCACATTTGTATTTTATTATGACAACTTGGCAAATATGTATTGGCAGGCTTGTTCCTGATGTCACCGGAAAACTAAAACAATGAGGTAGGTTCATTATTATCATTATTATTATTATTATAGAATAGTCTTCACTTAAAGGCTGTTGTTTAAAAACAAAGTCAAACACATAAGTGAGGCACTACAGAGAAAGGAACCAGGCATGGTGGCACACTCTTATAATCCCAGCCCTTAGGAGACAGGGGAAGGAGGACTGTACAACCTGGGCTACACAGTGAGATACAGAGTAGCCTGGGCTACATAGGAAGACCCTATATCTCAAAAAGAAAGAGGGACGGGGAAGAAGAGAACAAGAAGAATGGATAGTTTTTCACAAGCCACTTAAATCATGCCAGATCATAAACACTGAAACATTTAGTTACTTAAAACGATTGCTAGAACTTAGTTTATTTCTCAAAGGATAAGAAGTTAAAAACTACTGTTCAAATTCAAAGACTCAGCTTCAGAAGCTGCAATGGCAGAAAGGGAATAAAATCCCTATCTCACGGAGCTGTGGGTTGCTTAGCCCTCACAGAGCATCAATCCAGTGTGTGAATATACATGGGCACACAAAAACTGTTATTTCCACTTCCTTTGTGTTACTGCCATTACACAGTTAGACACCAGCGACATCCCAAACCAGGCCAAGCACGTGGGTTCTAACACGAAGTCTACGAATGAGAAGTCATCCCAGGCTCTCTGCCATATTCTAAGTTCTAGGATTTTTACACAAATTTACAAAGCACCCTTATGAGATATAGACAAGGCCTTTATGTGGAGTCAGGACAGGGACAGTGTAAACTAAAACCAAAGTAATGACTCGCTTTCAGCCAGCCAGTAAAACATACTTTTACATATTACTACCAGTCAGACAGTGAGGTACACAACCTGTAACAAAAACACAGGCAGGGTTAGGCACGGTGGCACACACCTTTAATCCTGTGGAGGCAAAAGCAAACTCTGTGAGTTCAAGGTCAGCCTGGATGATATAGCAACATTGGGAGTCCCAAGCTAAGCCAAAGCTACATAGTGAGTCCCTGTCTAAAAACAAAACAAAGAAAACCCACTAGAAGATATTAATAAGAGGACACTATCCCTAGAACAGAAATACAGATTATACAGAGAAAGCACAAAATACCAGTCTGGACTATGATGAACAGTTATGTAAGTTATTCAATGGGAGACTCGATCTACATCTGCCAGAGCCACGCCAGCTCACTATTTTAGAATTCCATGAATGTACTTAAAGTCTGCCTTCCAAACTTACACACTTGTACAGTTATCAACTACTGTAATGTTAACTGATAGCAGAGGCTAGAACTGCAAGGCGTGGCTCTAGGACCAGGTCGCTTAGATTTGAATTCCATCTCCATGGCATACTACCTGACCTTGAGCAACTGATAACCTCTACTACAAGTTCCATCTCTAAACTGTGAATAACAATAGTGCCTGTCCTTAGTGTTGCCACAAGAACTAAATTAACATACGTAAATCACTTGGAATATTGTCTTGCAAATACAGTGAGAGCTCAATAAAAATGAGCTGCTAGGGGCTAGAGAGACAGCTCAGTGGTTAAGAGTACTGGCTGTTATTCCATAGAACCCAGATTCTATTCCCAGCACCTACACGGTAATTTGCAACCACTAGGAAGTTAACGGTTTACAACTTACAGAACTCAAACTCCACCATCTAGGGATGTCAGGGCAAGAACTCAAGGCAGGAACCTGGAGACGGGAGCTGATGCAGAGACCATGGAGGGTGTCCGCTTACTGAGGCTTGCACATCCTGCTTTCTAATAACACACAGGCCCAACAGCCCATGATGAGCTAGACCCTCCCATGTCAATCATGAATCAAGAAAATGCCCCACAGGTTTGCCCACAGGCCAATCTGGTAGGGGCATTTTCTTAATCAAGTCTCCCTCTTCCCAAATGACCATAGCTTGTGTCAAGTTGACAAAAAACTAACCGGCACATTGCCCTAACTTCATTTGGGTCATTCTCGCACTACATGACATTCTAGAGAACTAGCTCAAAGGACTCTCTTAAAATGATGGTTAATGCCATCAGTACTGTCGGAGCATGGTCTGGAAACAAAGGGATTTGGGGGGTTCTGAGTGCTTGTGAGAACACTCTAAGAAAACACAGAATTGTTCTGAGTGATTTTACTTCAGAGTACTCATTACTGCTTGATGTTGCTATTCAATTAAATGTTTAAACTATCCTTTATAAGCCTCTATGGAAAAACATGTCTTTGCTGCATGTGGCTTGTCCTTGTGATTGTATACAGCTGGACTCATGAGACCTTTACTCAGATGACCTTTCTTAACCCTCCTAGCATGAATTGTCTGGGGCTCTGAATAAAGTTGGCTATTACATGAAACTTAGTCTGCCTCATTTACTGGCTCCATTCTCGAAGGTCCCATAGGCTCTAGAGCGTGGTAAATACCAGCTAGAGATACTGAACAAAATGTGAAATGCAAGAACTAGATAGAAGTCATGGAAGCATACGGTGAACACCAAGGGCCATCACTGGCCCATCCTAACCAATGCCTTACTCCAATAGAAAGACAAGCAACAACGTTTCAATGTGTTAGTGGACAGGGACCCAAAAGAAGAGCCAATCACATTTTCATCTTTTAGCCTGCTGCTTTGTTTGTACACTGTTCTTGCATAAAGAGGTAACAGAAAAGTCAATCCCATAAGCTAAGCTCCAATAAAGATTCATGGGCTCCATCCCAAATAGTCAAATGTCTTGGATTCTCTTTTAAAATGTTGGAAGGAGTGCACATTACTGAATTACTCAGATCTTTTTACAAATGAGTCTGACTCTCAGATAAATGTAAGTGCATTCATCTTGCCCTACGGAAGGGATAATGCAGTAATAATGTACATTCCATTTTTATCTTGAAGACACAAGAAGCTGGCTGGGAATTTCCCACTCACCACTTCTGAGGTCACTCAACTGATTTATTAACTCATTCAGCACATATATTTTGAAAGTCTACTCTACCTTGAAACTGAAACCTAATTTTCATCATCTTTACATATGGCTATAAAAAGATCTCAAACATTCTCTCTGAATGCAGGCAGAATTCCAAAACCCTGCCCTCCTATCAGAAAGCAAGTTTACTTCCTGACTCAATCATGTTCTAGTCCTTCACAGAAGAACCCATGAAGATTGTCCCCTGAGGGCTGAAGGCTCAGAAGTTAAGATCCAGTGCCACTCTTCCAGAAGACTCACAGACTCAAGTCTGGTTTCCAGTGCCCATGTTGGGTGGCCGACGACGGCCTCTAACACCAGGTCCCAGGGGATCCAATGCCACTGACCACTTCTGTAGATGCCTATACTCGTGTGTATGCACATAACCTCAGGCAGACACACACAGATACACAGTTAAAAATAAATCTTTTTAAAAACTGGCTATCTTGCTGGACACTTCTTTAAAATACTGAATGGATTTCACACTCAGATGGAAGGACACATGTACATGAATGCCTTTGGGACTAGGAACAAAGCAATCACGTGTTTCTGCAAAGTTACCCTAAAGGCTCATGTATTGGAAGCTTCGTATCTAGTCTGGAACGTCTTAGGGTAGTGAGGCCTTTAAGACACGGGACTAAAGGGGAGTCACAGCGCTCCTGTCCTTGACAGGAACAGTGGGACTAGGTCCGCTTCCTCTTTCTTTCACTGTCAGGCCACAATGCAAACACTGCTCTGTCATTCACTCCTATCACAGTGTGCCATTATACCACAAGCCCAAAAGCAAAAAGACCAACCAGTTATGTATTGAAGCACTCAAATCATGAGCCAAATAAAACTTGTCTCTTTATAAATTCATTACTTCAGTTGTTTGTTCCAGTGAAAACAGCTAGCTGGTACACAAGAGACCCTTTAGCTCTTGAAAACTTTAGAAAAAGCCGAAGTCACGCTGCATCCATCTGTCCTCTGCTCTGGGATTCTGCTGAAGGAACAAAATCAGTGTTGTTCTAACTGTGTCTGGACCTTGACTGGTAGATACTAAACAACCGTGTGCTGCTGCTATTCTAGCTTCCGTATCTTCCTCACAGCTTGGGTCAAGAACCACAAAAAGAGGCAAAGAAACCTCTCCCAACCTTCCCAACAATTGGATGCCCATGGGGTGCAACACTACAGGACACTCCCAGCAGCAGGAGAATACGCAGAAGTACTGAATGTTTGGGACACACCTAGCCATGAAGGAAAGGCCAACAGGTGGGCTGGTGATGCTAGTGTTCACAAGCGTGACTCTAGCACTGCACTGACATCCTACAAGCAGCCTACCTCGGTTGGCCCAGCATACATCATAGGAGATGGAAAGATGGCCACCACTGTTGTTTCAGGGTTCAAGACACCCTCCTCCAGCACTGCAGCATGCTGCTTCATTCGCCACATCAAAGGGACATCATCATCCTTCGTCCAGCCACCAAGAGGATGGAGGAGCAGGACGGGGCGCCGGTAGCCCCTCTCTAGAAGCTGCTTGTGGGTGTCCTGCATTAGCAGAGCATGTCCGTTGTGGACTGGGTTTCGCAACTGAAATGCAAAGACAGCATCTGAAAAGAGAATTTCCAGAGTTAGGCCTTTCCAGTATCGCCCTGCCTGGGACAAGCCAATCTTTCCCGACTGATGCTTACAAGTAACGAGCACGCAAGCTCAGAAGCAGAAGTGGGTAAAGCCATGAACTAGTGACTGCCTATTCCAAGACAGTTGACATCCACTGATACCATTCAGTATTACCAGTCCGTGTTCACCTGAGGAAGTGTGATTCAAGAGCCACAGACACACAGTTACTCCTGTGTGCAGGGAGAATGACATCAAGTGTCAGGCTTTCTTTCCAGTCCTAAGAGTCAGCTCAGAATGTGGCGAGAGCATTCAGAGAGGGCAGGAATGGCACAGATGAAAGGGGAATAGCCCCCAACGGCAGTGTTGAAGCTGGCTCAGAGGCATGGGGACTCAGTACACTCTTATCTCTGCATATGTTTTAAATTCCCCATAACGTGTTTTAAAAGAGAAGACACATGCGGGGGATCCGAAGCAGAACTGCTTTTAGATTCAGTTATATAACCCTCAGTTCTGCAAAGTTTACTACAAATCAGCTGACTATTCATGAAAGCAAATTTGACCCCTAAGAAGCCTTGAAGCATTTGGTGCTTTGGAAGCTGCTGCAACCGCTCAACCCAAACGCCACAGTGTAAGGCATCCAGGGACAGAACCTGGACCCATTAGCCTAGCTATCTCTGGCTATCTACCAGGACAGGGTGGCTGCCAGGTTTAGCATGCCAGCTGCAGTTTGCAAAATAAGATAGGACAAGAAGAAGTAAAACAAAATTCCAACCAAGAGCAAAGTGTGGAGGCACCCCTGCTTTCCAGAGGGGACGTGATCATAAAATTATTCATTTTGTCAAAGATAGAGGGCACATACAGCTGGATGTAAAACTTGGCACAGGACAAACACATTATATTCTGAATGCTCCTTGGAAAAGATTTTGGTACCTAATAAGGGCTATGAATGGAACATGAAGTGGCCTGTGACATTCTGTAGAGAATTAGCCATGTGACACTATACAGGATTGACATGGGAGAGTATAAAAAGTAGGTACAGACACTAGAGATAAATCTGCTGTACGTATTTCCACATAAAACAGAACTCTGCCAGCTGTTCCATTTTCTCTCCCCCTTTAAGCAATGTGTCTCCAGGGCCAATTCACCTGATAGACCACACCCTACACACTTCGATGAGGCCACAAGCACCAAGGGTACTAGGCTGGGCTCTGAAGCACGACATGCAAATTTCTGTTAATTGAGCAAAACTTGGCCCCAAGCTCAGATCACCTCTCCATCTGCCTCTTAGTGTCTTGATATCATCCAAGAGTCAAACCTGCCACCTTGTCCCCACCTCCAGGTCTGCTCCCTCGATTTGGAGCACAGTAGCTGATCCCGAATCCAGAACACTCCAGCTCTCCTTCCTCCCAGGCATGTGCTCAGACCCCCATCATCTCGCCACAGGAGTCTGTACTGACCATTCCCTCTGCAGTCTGACAGTGCAGCGGACAGGGACAGGGAAGGTCTGAACAAACGAAAACTCCAGTTCAGACAAGCTCTCCCCAAGGTAACAGTGGGGGCCCCATGCCCTCAGAGTCCGCAATTTATTCAGAGAAGGAAAGAGTAAACGTTTGGTAAAAGAAATCCAGTTCTTCCAAGTCCTGCAGGGAAGGATTAGAAGTCTGTTTGCAGAGTAGGGTGCTGACAGTGTGGAGAGCAGGTGACAGAGGAAAAGAACATCATTTCTTCCCCTCCACGTGGAACTGTCGGGCTGCATTCACCCAGACAACTAGCTGCTCCTGCTCTGCCACTCGGCAAGCATGAACCTCTTGCCAAATCCCAAAGGTGCCTGCTTTTGTCTCTGTGAGCATCTGCCCACTGTCTTCCCAGACTAAATGTCACACAGGGCACTGGCCTCTTTAAAATATAAGGCATGCACCACAACAGAGAACTTGAGAGGAAACTGTCCATAAATAGACAGTTTTAATGCTTGATTTTGCCTAGTCTCCTAATTATTTCTTGTGCACATATTTTACACAACCATAATCAAACAAATATGTAACTGCAGTCTCTGCTGGGCCATCTGGGTCTAGCCACCTGTTTCTGACTGTGTAACTGGAGCATCACTGCTGTGCTGTGGGACGCTCCACTGACATGTTCATTCAGGAACTAAGCACTCAACCCCCCACCATCATCTGTACTCGATAACTGTGTGATATCTCAGCTGTATCTCTATGGCCTGACTCCAAATCATCAGGCACAGACATGATGAAGTCATCTCAACATTTACTACACTCTGTCTTCCCACACTGGGTATTACTGTCTCCACACACACCTCACTTGGTCTATTCCTCGTCACTTTCCCAACCCCCTCTAGCATGTCTCTGTACTGCTCAGTGTGGCAAGCTCTCCTTCTCTGCACTCTGGACTGTCCTCGCCAGGCCAGGAGGCAACACGGTAAGAAGCAAATGAAGTTGGAGCCCTTTCCTTCCAGCAAGTAAAGGAGGAAGAAGAGAGTGGTGAAGGGCCTTTTCAAAATGTGTTCACTGCTTAGTAAAGGACGCCATCAGCATTTCCTGACAGTAAAAACACAGCAGCAACTCCTGGATGTGTGTAGGATGGGTCGTGTGATGACCCATCCAATGGCACGGGCAGCAGGAACTGCCAGGACCTAGTACAAAGAGCTAGATGGACCACGCTCTGCACCAGCTGAGTGACCAAAGACAATGGCATTTGGGAAGGAGGAGGAAAGGGGAGGGAGAGAAAGAGGAGGGAGGGAGGGAAGGAGAGAGGTAGGGAGGGAGGGAGGGAGGAACAAGGCATTGCTTGCTGCTGCTGCCCCTCCCTGATGTTGCCAGTTCGATTCCCCAGCACTACTGTGTGTTCCCAGAACTGCACCTATCTCTTCTTCCACGCTCACTTGGTTGACTTTGGACACTATCCGAGGGTGCTTCTGCTTTCAGCTAGAACCTGCCAGACACGGAGTCTCCTTATCTGGTTTCTGGTTGCAACATCTCTAGCTCACTGCTTTTACCATAAGAAAATACAATAACTTCACTGCCTCACCAACCTCCTATATTGCCCCCAACTTTGCCTAAAATATCCTTCTAATATCTCTGCTCATTCTTTTAAAACAGTCCATAATTCAACAGCTCAACAAAAGCCCTCACAGACTGACTCAGTACTGTGCAGCACCATGCTAGTCTGAAAGAGTGTGTGAATTTTTTACTTTGTAACCAGCAGGACACCAACATTCTGTGTAGAATGAGGACAAACAGGCTCTCAGCCTGCTCAGTGAAATCCTCCTTTCCCTCTAGCCTATCAATCATTTGAATACCAGGAACCCTGTTAGTAAATAGATCACCTTCTAAGTTAGCAATGTAGGCAACAGGGAAATCTCCATCCTCCCAGCTAGAGAAGGGACACCAACACCAAACAGTCACATCCATGTAGACCAGGTCCTCTGGGAGTCAGGGCTGTGGGGAGGGCCTGTCCAGCCAGTCTTCCCGAGGCTGAGCAGGATGGTGAGTGTCGACGACCCAGACCCCTCTCCTAGCCACCAGAGAGAACCACACTGAGTCGTGGAGACCCGTGCATGCAGAGTCTAGCTTTATTGTAACAGGCATACACTTATATAGAGTTGAGAAAGTGGGTGGCGACCTCAGGATGGGATAAGGTACAAGGGCCAATAATATTCTACTACCACGTTAGCTGGGCAGGGGCAGTTTTGCTGAGACAGGTGGCCAAACTCTAGCCAGGCTCAGGAAGTTCCACTAGGCCTTGTGTCTGGGCCTTTTTAGGCCCAACACATGTACACAGGACAATCTATACCAGGTAACCTACACACTTAAGATGAGTTGGAGAAGAGCAAGCAGAGGCCTGGACAGACACTAGAGACAAAAATGAAGCACTATTCCTGCTTTCTGTCTCTTGAACACATCAGTAGACTGGTTGTCACTGGCTTCCTAATGAGTAAACAAAAACTACAAAGTAAACTCCCTCCGTCTGTTGCTTATTTGCCTTGGTCTAAAATGGAAAAGTAAACAAAATAACACCACAAATCTTTGTTGTTTGATGTAAGGCTAATAACTGGCTCTCAGCTACTTTAAACAAAGTTGCAATCACTCATTATGCAACAAGTTCCCTAAATGACTTAAAATGTTTGGCTCACAAAGGCACAAAACAGATGGACTAGTAAAGTCTCTAATTATGAACAATAATTCCATGATAAGATGTCTCAACAGAGCCAATAATTGACTAACATTGATTCAAGATATAAATTCAGATTTGGGCAAAAACAAACTAAGGTAGTCTCAACAAGTCCTAAATGTGTTTCTGTTCACCACCAGAAAAAGGGATAGAGGGAGGGAATGAGGAAGGGAATGAATGCACTATTATTGCTGATGATAAAAAAAAGACCCAACTAAAAGTGTCTTAAATAATTAAAATATGTAGTATCTCTTTAAATACAAAGTCTGGAGATAAATGACAGAAACTCAACACAGAACACATGTTTGGGATTCTTACGAACACAGAATGGCTGCAAGAACTCCAAATACTCTATCCTCAGTGACAGCACCCAGATAGGGGAAAAAGACAAACGGTTCCTTTCTTTCTCTCTTTCTCTCTTTCTCTCTCTCTCTTTCTTTCTTTCTTTCTTTCTATTGTTGGTGATAATAGTTTCTTCTCAAGGACTTTTTTTTCCTGGAAGCTGTCTTTCTCCTTTACAGGATAATGGCCGGAAGCAACCTTCATAGGGTCCCTAAATTTCATACTGACTGCCTGATACCAATCATTACTCATTTTCAAATGAGCCCCAGTGTGTTTGAAAGCAGAAGATGAGGCTGTACTTAACCTGCCATTGTATGTAGCACTCAGAAATCACTGGATGTTAAACCAAGGGTGATGGGTATTCTTGTTTGCCAATCTGATTCCATCTAAAACCCCCGTAGACTGAACAACTACTGGGTTCTTGGACCTTCCATTGGTAGACAGCCATTGCCGGACTAGCTGGACCACAACCTATAAGCCATTCTAATAAATCATGGATGGACGGATAGATAGATGGATGGATAGATAGACAGATAGATAGAAAGATAGATAGATTCATTCATTCATTCATTCATTCATTCATTCATTCATTCATTCTATGGGTTCTATTTCTCTAGAGAACCCTGACTAAAACACCAGGTATCTGCTTCCAATTCACAGAGAAGTTCAAAAGACAAAGAGGGGTCCTTCCCTGCAACTGAAGGAGCCATAGGGCATGTGAGTGAACAATGAATGAGGCAGGCTGAGCAGAAGCCACTGCGCACTGCAGGGTGTGGCCCAACAGAGGCCTCTATGCCTACAGTACCTTATGGCTGCATGACTTTAAATGCCAGCCAAGCACAGCAGGCTCAGGAGTAACCTGCACACCAACCCAGGCAGACTAGCTTCAGCACACACACAGAAACCAGGGTAACTCACTCTCTTACTGTGTGTCTGCTGCTGTTCATAGTGTGTTACTTATCTGATCTCATTCCAATTTTTAAAATAAAACCCGATGTCCATCATAGTGGCACTCAAGAGGCAGATGCAGGCAAATCTCTATGAGTTTGAGACCAGCCAGGTCTACTAGTGAATTCTAGGCCAGCCAGAACCACTGTAAGACCCTGTCTC